AACTATTTTCTGACCCGAAATGCAGTGGGCCGCTTTTACAGAGACTGCCTCTTAAAAGTTACTCAAAAGTTGCTAAACATTCAAAAAGTTACGGAAACCCTGGAGGAACATTCAYATACTTCATACTTGAAGTCTCACTTTGATAAAATTTTTGATTTCATAAATGGCTTTTTCTACTCCTTTTCATCCTTTAGTTTTTGAAATTCATTTTTGATTTCTTAAACGGCTTTCCTTAATTAACATTTAAGGCCGTTAATCAACGGTCGATTTTGACCCTTCCTATGAAGATGCATACTGGAACATTTTAGGCCGTTAATCAACGGTCTATTTTGACCCTTCCTATAATGATACATACTGGAACATTTTAGGCCGTTAATCAACGGTCGATTTTGACCCTTCCTATAAAGATGCATACTGGAACATTTTAGGCCGTTAATCAACGGTCTATTTTGACCCTTCCTATAATGATGCATATTGGAACATTTTAGGCCGTTAATCAACGGTCGATTTTGACCTTTACCATAATGATACATCGATTTATATACGCTTTGTAAGTACATGGTTGGCTCTGCGTCAATCAATGAACGCTGCATGATCGACTCAACTAAAATCTGTACATATTGGTAGTGTTATGAGAAAAATTTGGTCAATATTTCATGATAACAATATATGTATTGTTGGCTATTACTAGCAGAGTGGTTATTAAAAACCCGTGAAATACACTTTAGCGTATTACACTTTTATACACTTTATTGTCCGCATTTTCTTTTGATTTTCTTTTGTGTTTTCGGTGTATTACAATTCATCACACCTTAGTTATTACACTTTGTTTAACAGGTCTTTGAAAAACACTCTAACTAGACGGGCGCTAAAACGCGTCAATTAAAACATAGTTCACCAGCAACTGCCTGCATTAAGGTATTAATAGTCGTAAAGCCAAGGCAAGTTAATCATCGTCCTCACTATGACGGTCATATGTTTTTATACATACACGTACAGTGACTTTTTYAGCTGCATGGGCAATTAGTATCTTACTACTTACCTTGACTAGGCAACACTTACCACTTATTCGGTTAGCAGCTACTCCGTGCCACGTAGATTAATGTCCTCCGAGCATGACGTCTGTCTGTGGAATATTCATGTGTCTGCCGTAAAAAAAAATAGTGTTCGCGGTTCGTGAGTGTGTCGAGAGAAGGGGTGGGAAGGGCACAGAGAGCCCAATTTAGATTAAAGTGAATGGTGAAAATGAAATCGGAAAAATTAAATAATTAATGATTTTTTTAAATTCGAGATCAAGATAATGTCCTCCGTAATGCGAAAGAGTAAAAAGGTCAATAAAAAAAATGCTCTAGAACATTTTTTTTTCGCGCGCGCCTTTGTTTTCCTATACAATTTCCCTATGGTATCTGATGTTGATCTTTAATATGTATATGCAAGAGAATTCTCTTGGTATATGTGAGTATATGTACAGATACCATAAGGAAATTATTAACAAAACAAAGGCGCGCTCGAAAAAAATGTTCTAGTGCATTTTTTTTATTGATTTTTTTACTCTTTCGCATTACGGAAGACATTATCTTGATCTCGAATTTAAAAAATTATTAATTATTTAATTGTTCCGATTTTATTTTCACCATTCACTTTAATCTAAATTGGGCTCCCTGTKGGAAGGGGTGGGGGCAGTTCAGACGTCGGGTCAAACTTAAAAACAAGTGTCCGCGCCCGCGATCTGTATCAGTAAAAACCGCGCAGGAAGTGTGGAGGCTGCCATCTTGTACGACCATCCAAAATGGTACGAAAAACTCCTCACTTTATTCCCTTCCCTCGCCTTATTACTCACCAATTCTTCCCATTTCTCTGTCCTTCAGAGCTTCTTTGGCTTTGGTCAGTCTGCAGAGATCGAAATTGAACTCGATGGAGCTGATAAACGCAAGCAAGTTGACGTGAAAAATGAGGACGGGAAGAAGGAAAGATTGTACTTGTACTACGATGGAGAGAGCGTTACAGGAAAAGTAAGATAGCGATCTTCCTCATTGCTCAACTTTTACGAAATACAATACAAACTATACCTTAAATATAAAGTTATTGTCTAACCTGGAATTTTTTCACGGCAACTACCCTGAAACCTCGAAATTACATCCATATTAAATTTGATTTACAGTAACTTCAAAGCAAGATTCCGTCGATCATATAGCTTATAAAGCAAAATTAAGAGAATGTTCATTGTTCTTCGCTTAATTTTCTGTCCATATCGGTCAAATTATTCATAAAAGGTTAAAYGTTCTTAAAAACTTAACAATTTGAGATGAATTCAGCTATAAATTTAAAAAATAGTGAAGTTGAATTATTTAAGAGAACTTGATCAGCATTTTGAGATTTCGTGGTTGATGACTGCGTGCACTACATGAATGCATTGGTAAAATTTAAAGATGAAGCGATTTGCGATAATGATTTAGAATAAGAGGCTTAGATGTATGTATCGAGTTGATCCACTTATTATGAACCACCATTCTTGACCAAGTGTAGTTTTAAAGATTAAGCAGTTTTGATCTTTTATTCTTTCCTTGTATCATTAACAACCCTGGAGGCATTGTGCTTGTATTAATGCTTGTTTTGTCTGTTTTCTTGCAAAATTTAATAATAATAATAATAATAATGGAACTTATATAGCGCACATATCAAAATTCATGGCGCTTCACAATAAGAAATAAAATAAATACCAGACGTATGTTACAATATTAATGAAATGTCATAGTTAATAATGTGACAAATAGCAAGAAATCTCTATAAAGAGATSAAAGTGGTTTTCCTATTTACTTCCACTAAGATCTCATTCACTTCATTAAGTGGAACTTTTTGGTTTGCAYCGGCGTATCAAATACAATGAGTGAATAATAAGGAAGCTTACCRTATAAACTGTGGGTTTATCAATGTCAGAGGCCCTTCTATGGCTGAATTCCGGACTAGTGACGTGGCTTTGAAACAGTGAAATGAGAGCCATGAATTAGCGATGAACAAGCCTTATTAGGGGGGAATTACCAAAAACATACCTAAATTGTGACATACGGCAAYTGTGAAATTCAGGCAGAGGACATGGATACCTCGTCCCCCCCTTTACTCCCCTATAGGTCCTCAAGCCAGGGCACATTTATTTCACATATTGAATTTGAATTTAGCTGGTGGTTTTGCTAGTTCTTCAAATTCTTGATTTAGTGGTAGAATTTTTTGTCTAATAAGACTTACRTCTCACATGATAAGGAAGTACTTTAAACAATAAACTCCTTTTCAGTGACTGCAGTTCTTCATAAAAAATTAAAAACAAATCTTGTAAAACTAAACCCTTTATAAAATAACTTCAATTTAATTAATTTATAAAGTCCTTTAGATTTATTTCTGAAGAATATTATTTTCCTGGATATTTCTGTTCCTTCGACGGTGGTCATCTCTTGTCAAAAGAGGTCATAAATCAATAAATACTCTTGAGAGAAAGCACTAAACATGTACAATTTAAGTAAGTCTGAATTAAATTGGTAGATAGGTAGGAAACATATAGTTCAAAAAAATTTGTTTTATTAACAAAGTAACATTTACAAATTGTTTTGAGACTTTTGRTAATCAACTACAGTTCCTTCAAATATTTTACAATAAATATACTTTTTTCTTGCTTATTTAAAAAATAACCTAACTTGACTTTGCAATAACAATTTTTGCTTGGTTTTGTTTAAAATAATTTGTAATATTTTGTTGTTAAATATGAAAAGTTCTAGACATTTAGATGAATCTGCAATCTGCTATGAACGAGAGTGTTTGATCTGCTATGATCAAGGTTGGATAAGGTTGTGAATATTATATATGAAGCCCCTGCAGGCTAGCACTGTCTCGATTTTAACCTTGCCCTTAGCCTAATAAAATTATCCTGGCTTTCAGGCTAAGTTTCCATCTGATATCAGGGAGAGTAAAATGTATTAAAACATCTGAAAAAATGCTGTTGAAAATCTTGAATAATTATTTCGCAAAGATAAAAGGGCAAGCTCTTAAGGATGATGAGATAGCCTACAAGGAAACAGTCTTATAATAATACTCATTGTCTCTTAATTTCATAAAGGTCAAAGTCAACCTTAAAAACCCTGGAAAGAAACTAGAACACCAAGGCATCAAGATTGAGTTTATTGGTCAAATTGGTAGGTCGATATACATTATCTGTACTTAATTCTGGGATAAAGTTTAAATTTCCCTGTCTCAGTAGTCTCCCTTGTTTATTAGTCAAAGTTTATATATCAGTAAAAAACGTAATTCCACTTTAGAATTTACTGCTGTATATCATCTTGAAAAACCTTCAAATTTTATTGAACCCTGAAACAATCTCTGGACTGATGAAAGTGGGAGCAGGAATTGGCATGGACTCTAGATTATTAGGTTTTGTATAGGGAGGGAAACCAGAAAACTTTGAGAAAAACCCTCAAATCAAGGAAGAGACCTAATAAACTCTGCTCATATGTATCCCAGTCAAAGAATTGGACCAGAGACCCCAGAGGTGAGAGGCGATCGACTAATGCTACACCATTCTTGATTACCACATGGGTGGCACACTACACCCTATTAAATCAAGGTGTGAGAGGGTGCTTTTTTTCCCTTTACCCTATTAGTACACAACTGACATACACCTAATTCAAAAAACRTTGTCATCGCCAAAGGTGATAGGCATTTGAGAGTTTTAGATTTACGTTCACGGCAAACGTGAAACGTCAGTTGACCAGTAAAAAATTCTTTTAAATGACTGAAAAAGAATCGCAAAAAAGTCCAAGTAGTAGAAAAACAAAAGAGTATTTGCGCTTGGTGAGAAGGTTTGTAAATAGTTAAGTAAAATACAGGAAARCTATGAAAACGTGGTCACGTTTGCKGTTTGCGGGGAGRAAAAAAAGTCAATCTAAAACTCTCTAATAGGTCATTGAGTCAGTCTCAACACTAAGGTCCATGTTCTTGACGAGAATAAGAAGCAGAAACACAAGTCATTCCAGCTATTCTTGGATCTTGGAACGACATTATATCCTATTGGTTTTCACCTATTGCCTATTGCCTATTGCCTATCGCCTTTGGCAATGACAGCGTTTTTTGAATTAGGTATTTCTAATGGAGAAGTTAAATTTTTCTCTCAACAGAACTGTTCTATGACAGAGGGAACCATCATGAGTTTACTTCGCTTGTCAGAGAACTAGCCAGACCAGGAGAATTAATGCAAAATGAAACCTTTGACTTTGAATTTGTGAATGTTGAGAAACCATACGAGACATACACGGGTGCAAATGTTAGGCTCAGGTAAATATCTTTTAAATATCTTTTTATTTAAGTGTCTAGTCATTCTTGTGCTTTCGCACTAATTGTGGACACTTTTCGCTCACACACACTACCACTACATTAAATATTCTATGCACACAATGCTCAACTCACATGGAGAAAACCTTCGAGCATAGTAGAGAACGAACATCAAACAAACTCAATTCACATGCTTTAATACGATTACCAGAAATTAATGAGAATTAACTTGTTAATGTACACCCTTTTATATCCCTCAGGTATTTTCTTAGGGTTGCTATAGTAAGACGGTTGTCGGACATATCAAAAGAAATGGACCTTGCTGTACATACATTATCTACCTACCCAGAGATGAATACCAGGTATGAATAACTATAATCAATTCTACATAAAGGGTTTTTCTGGCTCTATGGTTGTTGTAGCTCCTGCCTTCTGGGAAGATGAAGCTACTATTTTTCCTCACTCCTTTTAAACCAACCCTAACCAATTCAATCTGCAATCTTGGACAAAAAGAGTTGAGAATTTTTCATCCAATTATCTTGAAATAGTRGAAAATACCCCCTCTCCCCCAAGACAATGTTGGTCCCTGTAGTTAAAGCAGCCCTGTCTCCCTTGAAGCAACATTGTTTAGGGGGGAGGGGGTTGTTTTAAGGGGAATGTTTCATGTTTTTAATTAAAAACCATTAAAACTAAATATTTCTCAACATTTCTGACCAAGATTGTGGTTAGGGCTGTGCTCTGGGGTCCTACAT